ATATATATATATACATATATATATGAATCACTTTGCTGTACACCTGAAACTAACACAACATTGTAAATCAACTATACTTGAATTTTTAAAAAGCCAAAAAAATTTAAAAATTAAAAAAAGGAAAGTTCAGTAGCATTAATACATTCACAGTGCTGTACAACCACCACCTCCATCTCATTCCAAAACCTTTGCAGCACCTAGCTTCTAATTTTTAACAAGCTCCATTAAATGTCCTTCATTTTGACCCAGAAAAGTGGGCTCGGCACCCCCTGTCAGAAAACTCTGGGATTTTCCCTTGCAAAGCTCGGACTGGCGAGGCAGGTTGGTCTTCCCTCTGGGTTAAGGCTCAATCCTGTTTCTCCCATAGTGTCTGTCACCTGCAAGATGGGGGACTTCAGCTGTGGGGGCCATGTCAATCGCTGCATTCCTGAGTCCTGGAGATGCGACGGCCAGCTGGACTGCGAGAACGGCTCAGACGAGGAAGACTGTCGTAAGTGGTCACTGGCCTGGTGGCCCGTGGGTCCTGGCCTCGTCCAAGTGACCCTACCGGGTTCCTGGCTGAGGTCAGTTTGTTCCCCAAGCTGAGGGTTCTGTGAAGAAACAGGCTGAGAGTCTTGGAGGGGAAGGTACTTTGTAGCTGGTTCTGTCTTGTCTCTTTGATTTTATTCATTACTTATAATTTCATTTTCAATTGCATAGGTTTTTTTTTTTTAGCAAAATAAGGCTCTTTAAAAAACAAAAAACAAAAAAACCTGGGGAAAATTTAAATAACTGAGATCACATCGAATCTTCAAGTTCACAAAATATGAAAACCCTTAAGAGAATCTAAAAAAAAACTAAAAAGGGGGAGTTTCCTGGTGGCCAGGTGGTTAGGATTCTGGACTTTCACTGCTGTGGCCAGGGTTCAAGCCCTAGTCGGGGAACTGAAATCCCACAAGCCATAAGACCCAAAAAGTGATTGTTCGCTTACATTTACCTTAGAAATGCACATCTAACCTTGGTTAGTGGTCATCTGATGAAATAGCTCCCTGGGGAACATTTTAATAAATTTATTTTATTTATTTATTTATTTTTGGCTGCGTTGGGTCTTCGTTGCTGGGCGCAGGCTTTCTCTAGTTGTGGCGTGCGGGGGCTACTCTTTGTTTTGGAGTGTGGGCTTCTTATTGCGGTGGCTTCTCGTGGCAAAGCACAGGCTCTAGGCATGTGGGCTTCCACAGTTGTGGCTTGCAGGCTCTAGAGCACAGGCTCAGTAGTTGTGGTGCACAGGCTTTGTTGCTCCGCGGCATGTGGGATCTTCCCAGACCAGGGCTCGAACCCATGTCCCCTGCAGTGGCAGGCAGACTCTCAACCACTGCGCCACCAGGGAAGCCCCCATATATTCTTTTTCATATTCTTTTCCATTATAATTTATTATATGATATTGACTGTATTCCCTGTGCACACTATGTTTTTGACTGCACTGGGTATTAGTTGAGGCATGCAGGATCTTTGTTGAAGCATGTGGGATCTTTCATTTCCTCGCTGGGGCTTCTTTCTCTGTAGTTGTAGGGCACAGGCTTCTCTCTAGTTGTGGCGTGTGGGTTTTCTCTCTCTACTTGTGGCACGCGGACTCCAGAGTGTGTGGGCTCCGTAGTTTGCGGCACACAGGCTCTCTAGTTGAGGCTCATGAACTCAGTAGTTGTGGTGCAGGGGTTTAGTTGCCCCCGCCCCGGCATGCGGGATCTCAGTTCCCCAACCAGTGATTGAACCCGCATCTCCTGCATTGGAAGGTGGATTCTTTACCCCTGGACCACCAGAGAAGTCCCCTGTGCAGACTCAAACTGCTTCCCATGTGCCCAGCCCAACGTGAGAGCTTTATACCCCAAGTCCTTAGCAACGCCTTAAGACACGAACAGATGAGGGAACTGAAGCACAGAGGGGGCCCAGGAGCTGGGCAGTCTTCCGGCCAGGGCAGCGGTTCCGTGTTCAGGGTTCCTGACCACTGCCTCGAGATCCTGAGTGCTGGGCTCTGGCCTCTCCTCGGCTCAGTGTCCGCATCTGTGCAATGGGCTTGTGTCAGGATGTGGTGGGAGGCTCCCTGCTGACCGGGCTGTCGTCTCCCGTCCGTCCCCGCAGCCCCCAAGACGTGCTCCCAGGACGAGTTCCGCTGCAATGACGGCAAGTGCATCGCCCCGAAGTTCGTCTGCGACTCGGACCTGGACTGCTTAGACGGCTCAGACGAGGTGTCCTGCCCCGCGCCCACCTGCGGCCCTGCCAGCTTCCAGTGCAACAGTACCACCTGCATCCCCGAGCTCTGGGCCTGCGACGGCGACCCTGACTGCGAAGACGGCTCGGACGAGTGGCTGCAGCGCTGCGGGAGCCCCCAGCCGTCGGCCCCCTCACAGGGCAACAACCCCTGCTCGGCCCTCGAGTTCCACTGCCGCAGCGGCGAATGCATCCACTCCAGCTGGCACTGCGACCACGACCCCGACTGCAAGGACAAGTCTGACGAGGAGAACTGTGGTAGGGGCGCCGCACGGGTCCCCTTATCTGTCCCCAGGCTCCCCCAAGTCGGGGCAGGGGCAGTGCCTTTAGGTGGTTGAATGGTTTCACATCTCATAGCAAGAAAATCGGTCCCATTTCATGTTCGAGTCTTTCCAGTCACATGGAAGACAAGCTATCCTCCAAAGAGCGCTCAGTCTGGGACACCTATTTAATTAATCTCTTTTGCCCAGGGGAGCAAGCCGCAACCTGCAGTATAATTTGAGTCCAGAAAGGATCCTGGGCTCCGGGCCTGGCTGGTGTCATCTGTGCTGTGTGACCTTTGGCCAGGGACCACTGTGCTGTGATCTCCTCCCCTGCAGACGCGGCAACAGCATCGGCCTTTGCGGGCCTCAGTTAGAATTCAGTGGCATCCGATCGAACTTGCTGTGATGCTGCCCAGTGCACGAGTGCTGGCCAGTGTAGCTGGTGCCACTGAAAGGTGGAATTCTTAGGTTGCTTTCATTTTAACCCATTGAAACTTAAATAGCCACAGGTGGTTAGTGGCGACTGCGACGTGGCCCCGAGTCAGTGCTCCCTGAATCAGGGCCGATCTTGCATGGCTAGTGATGTAGGTCGTTTTCGTCTTTCTGTTTCTTTGGCATCTTTGCCACGGGCACAGTGTTCAGAGTTGCAATCGCTGTCTAGGTGTAATTAGACTTTTTATTTTTTTATTATTATTATTTTTTTCCTTTTCTTTTTGGCCGCCCCACATGGCATGCGGGATCTTGGTCCCCAACCAGGGATCGAACCTGTGCCCCCTGCATTTGAAGCGTGGAGTCTCAACCGCTGGACTGCCAGGGAAGTCCTGTAATTAGACTTTTTAAAATGTCACCTTTTAAAAACGATTGAAGGGACTTCCAGCATGCGGGGTCCAGTGCACCTGGCCAGGGAACTAGATCCCGCATGCCGCAACTAAAGACCCCACATGTCGCAATGAAGATCCCGCATGATCCCGCCTACGGCAGTGAAGATCCCACATGCCACAACTAAGACCTGGCACAGCCAAAAAATAAATAAAGCAAAACAAAACAGTTGAAGACTTTGTATGTGATCGATCGGTTCTAAAACTGAACACCCTGGCAGTCCAGTGGTTAGGACTCTGCTCTTTCACTGCCAAGGGCCGGGGTTCAATCCCTGGTTGGGGAACTAAGATCCCACAAGCCCCATGGCGAGGCCAAAAATAAAAAATAAAAAAATAAATAAACAAATAAAACTGAACACAAATTCATTTAATCCCCATGACTTGTGAGAGCACGCTTCCCTCATTTTTTACAGATGAGGAAACTGAGGCACAGAAAGGTGGGGTAACCCTCTGAGGACACACACCTGTGAACCCGAACCATCCCTGATCACCCCACCATGTTAACTCTCATCAGAGAGCATGTTTTGCGAGAGTTATGTTCAGTTGTATTTTTTTCCTTAATGCAAAGATAGACACAGGGGTTAAAAATAGGATCATTCTAAATACACAAAGCAAAACAAAAAATAGGATCATTTTCCTCTTTTACCTAGGTCACAGCAGAGCAAGTATCCACTTGAAAATAACGAGCTCCAGACATTTGCATCTTTTTATTTATTTTTATTTTTTAATTTTTAATTTTTTAAATTTATTTTATATATATTTTTTGCGGTACACGGGCCACTCACTGTTGTGGCCTCTCCCGTTGCGGAGCACAGGCTCCGGACGCGCAGGCTCAGCAGCCATGACTCACTGCCCCAGCTGCTCCACGGCATGTGGGATCTTCCCGGACCGGGGCACGATCCCGCGTCCCCTGCATCAGCAGGCGGACTCTCAACCACTGCGCCACCAGGGGGCTGCATTTGCATATTTTTAAAAAGGTGGATGGGGAGGATCATTCTGCCCATAGATTTATCATCTTTTTTCACTGACTTCCTGAAATCGAATTTTCAAATTGTAAACATTTTGATAGTGAAACGTAACCCATGGGAAAGTGCAGAAAACTTAAGCTTAGAGCTTAATGAATTAGGGTAAAGCAAAAACCTGTTGGAGGTCAAGGTTTGGACCGTGGTTAGAATGACCCTATTCTAGTCATCACGTGTGTCCGCCAAGATTTCATTTTAATGGCCTTTTTAGGTAGTGTCAACTGAAACATGTTTTACGTTTGCAGTGTGAGTCATTTGAAGGGCTGTATGATACTCAGTGGTATTGATATGATTTATCGTAACTTAACTGGCCGTGCCTCTGTCTGGGTTGGGACCACATCACTGCTTTTCTGCGGAGAATGGCCTGTTGGGTCTGCCAGCTTTTTAATGAATTTCCTGCATACGAGGACAGACTGGAGAAACGTCTAAGAAAACGGTTGTGTTAGGGTGCTTTCCTGCCCCCTTTCTTATTTTCCACACCTGGCTCTGTCTTTCCCAGCTGTGGCCACCTGCCGGCCTGATGAGTTCCAGTGCTCGGATGGGACCTGCATCCACGGCAGCCGGCAGTGCGACAGGGAATATGACTGTAAGGACCTGAGCGACGAGCTGGGCTGCATCAATGGTGAGCTCTGTCCCGCCAGGGTCCAGGGCCATGGGGAGATGTAGGGGGATGAGCATGGTGCATCCCAGACAAGGGAGGAGCCTCCTGTGTGTCCTTGGGCAAGTTACTTGACCTCTCTGAGCCTCACGTCCACTTATCTGCCAAATGGGAAAAATGTAAGCACCTATTTCAGGACTCTGAGATTTAATGCGGTCGGAGTGTACAGAGCTCCTGTCCCTGAGCTCAGAGTTACATGCACAGTATGATTCCATGTAAAGCACTTTGCTGAATTTACAACATAGCAGTTCTGCTCCTGGGAAACTTGCACTGGGAGAGAAGCTCTAGAACAGGCAGAGCAGCACTGTCCTAACAGCAAAACACTGGAAGAACCCAAATGTTCATCAGCAGTAGAATTAATTTAAAAAATATATACGTATTTATTTATTTATCTATTTATCTATCTATCTATCTATTTATTTATTTATGGCTGCGTTGGATCTTCGTTGCTGTGTGTGGGCTTTCTCTAGTTGCAGCCAGTGGGGGCTATTCTTTGTTGTGGTGCGCAGGCTTCTCATTACGGAGGCCTCTCTTGTTGTGGAGCACGGGCTCTAGGTGCACTGGCTTCTGTAGTTATGGCACAGGGGCTCAGTAGTTGCGGCTCGCGGGCTCTAGAGCACAGGCTCAGTAGCTGTGGCTTGCAGGCTTAGTTGCTCCGCAGCATGTGGGATCTTCCCAGACCAGGGATTGCCCTGCATTGGCAGGTGGATTCTTAACCACTGTGCCACCAGGGAAGTCCCAAAATATTTTTTTAATTGTGGTAAAATACCTATAACGTAAAATTTACCATCTTAACCTTTTTTTTTTTTTCATCTTAGCCATTTTTAAGGGTCAAGTTCAGTAGTGCTAAGTAACCATCACCACCACCATCCATTGCCAGAACTCTTTTCATCTTCCCAAATTGAAACTCTGTCCCCGTGAAACACTCACTCCCCATCCCCCTCCCCCAACCCCTGGCACCCACCATTCTACTTTCTGTCTCTATGAATTTGACTCCTCTAGGGACCTCATGTAAGTAGAATCACACAGTATTTGTCTTTGTGTGACTGGCTTATTTCACTGAGCATGATGTCTTCAATGTACATCCATGTTGTAGCAGGTGTTAGAATTTCCTCCCTTTTTAAGGCTAAATAACATTCTGTTGTATGGATGGACCACATTTTGTTTATCCAGTCATCTGTGGGTGGATACTTGGGTTGCTTCCACCCCTTGGCTGTTGTGAATAGTGCTGCTGTGAACGGGGGTATATGGAAATAATTTTAAACGGCACATAGTGGAATACAATACAGCTGAGAAAATGAGGCTACAGCCCTTGTCTGCAGCCCAGGCAAACCTCATAACCTTGGGGTTGGGAGCAAGAAGGAAGTTGCAGGAATTTACTGGGTACAGTTATTTATATCATACTCAAAAACAAGCAAAATTCAACAATATATTGTTCATTCATACATGTTTGATAGAATGATTAATGAAAAAATAAGGAAATGGTAAACCCATAATTCAAGACTATCATTACCTCTGGGGGTAGCAGAGAGTAGGGGGATGGGATGGCAAAGACCACTACAATAGTCTCTGTCAGGGCCCAATGGTACAGGCCAGATAGTAAGTATTTTCAGCTTTGTGAGCCATAGTCTCAATTACAACTACTGGACTCTGCTATTATAGCGTGAAATCCACCACTGACGGTATGTAAATGAATGGGCAGGGCTGTGTGCCAATAAAACTTTATTTAAACCAACAGGCAGTGGGCCAGAGTTTCCCAGCCCCTGCTCTTGGTGACATTCTAATTCTTAAGCTGAGTGGAGGCTTCACAGGTGTTCAGTAATTATTCTGTTTTATTACCAAATACGTTTGCATCTATTCTTGCGTGAATAAGCTATCACATTAATAAAAAGCACTAAGTGGGCTCCTACTGCTCAGAAGCACCTGATCCTCCTCTGTGGCTCTCATAGTGACTCTGTGTGAGGGACCCAACAAGTTCAAGTGCCAAAGCGGCGAGTGCATCTCCCTGGACAAAGTGTGCAACTCAGTCAGGGACTGCCGGGACTGGTCGGACGAACCCCTCAAGGAGTGCGGTGAGCCCCGGGGTGCGGGCAGGTGGCAGAGCAGGGGTGGGACCCAGACGTGGGTGCTGCGGTGCTGCGAGGGGCTGGCCCACCCAGGCCCACAAGTGCTGTGGGGTGAGACAGATGGTGGGGGAGGGGTGTGCTGAGGATAAGTGGATTGGCTTCTAAGCCTTAGTTTTCCCAGCTGTAAAATGGGGCAGTAACTGCTCCCACATCCTAGGGCTGCTGGGGATCAAATGATGCAATGCGTGTAGTTGTAGCAGTGCTGTGACCCATATTTTGGACTTTATAGGCCGTAAGGTCTGTGTCACAGCTCTTCAACTTGGCCATTGTAGCAGAAAAGCAGCCATCCAAATGCATACACGTGTATATGAATGCTTGGGGCCATGCTCCAAGGAAACTTTTATTATGGATACAGAAACTTGAATTTCATAGAACTTTTTCATGAAATACCATTTTGTTTTCGATTCTTATTTTTCTTTTCAACTATTTTTAAATGTAAAAACCCTTCTTAGCTGTGTAAGAGCAGGTGGAGGGCTGGCTTTGGCCCATGCCTGGTATAGAGGGTATAAGAGCATAGATTCTGGAGCCGAGTGCCCTGGGTTCGAGTCCAGTGCTGTGATCTTGGGCAGGTCATTTAATCTGGCCGTGCCTCAGTTTCCCCAGCTGTAGTTCCCTTGCCTTTAGGGTTGTAGGGAGGATTAAATGGGTTAATATATGTAACTGTAGGAAGTTGTATGTGGCTTTTATTTTTTATTTTTTTGCTATACACGGGCCTCTCACTGCTATGGCCTCTCCCGTTGCGGAGCACAGGCTCCGGACGCGCAGGCTCAGCGGCCATGGCTCATGGGCTTAGCCGCCCCACGGCATGTGGGATCCTCTCAGACCGGGGCACGAACCCGGGTCCCCTGCATCGGCAGGCGGACTCTCAACCACTGCGCCACCAGGGAAGCCCTGGCTTTTATTTTTTATAATTAAAAAAATTGTAATTACTGTTAAAAAAACATAAAATTTACCATCTTAACCATTTTTAGTGAAGTTCGGTAGTGTTTTAAGTACATTCACGTTGTCGTGCAACCATCACCACCATCCATCTCCAGAACTATTTCATCTTGCAGAACTGAGACTCTGTCCCCGTTAAACACTAACTCCTCCTCCCCCTCCCCCAGCCTCTGCACCCACCATCCTACCTTCTGTCCCTATGAATTTTACTCCAGTAGGGGCCTCGAGGTGGAATATTGCAGTATTTGTCCTTCTATACCTGGCTTATTTCACTCACTATAACATCCTCGTGGTTCATCCATGGTGTCCCATGTGACAGTGGCTGAGTCCTCTTAGGAGTCATGGTACTTCTGCAGCTGCACAGTCATTGTGGTGATTATGATGACGGCGAAATAGCACAGGGTGGCGGGAGAGTGGCGGCTGGAGGCCAGAGTGTGACCGGTCCCCATCCCCCACCTGGCACAGGGACCAACGAGTGTCTGGACAACAAGGGCGGCTGCTCCCACATCTGCAATGACCTCAAGATCGGCTACGAGTGCCTGTGTCCTGAGGGCTTCCAGCTGGTGGACAAGCACAGATGTGAAGGTAATTCCCGAGCCCCGGCCCTTTCCCTGGACATGGGGAAGGTCAAGCCCTCAGCCTCAGTTTTCCCATCCATTAAGTGGGCGTGGGCACCGTCCCATCTGCACAGGGCTGGTAGGAGGCCAGGTGCACGGGCCAACTGTCGCCGGCTTGGCTCTCAGGGAGCACTTGCTTCTGGCCTTTGGGGATTAATAATTAAGAAAAAAATCTCAGCTGACGCAGCTTGGCCCTGCCAGCTGTGCCCTGAGGTGAATGGTGAGGTCGGGGTCACTGTTAGAGGTGACACTTGGCTGTTTCCAAGATTTTGTTGGTCAGAGTCCCCGGCCCTGGAGGTCTTCCCCAGAGGGGATGAGCTATCCGCCATTTGATGAGCCGTCTCCCATCTGCCACTGGGATGCACGGCCTTTGGTCAGAGCCCGTGGCTCCACCTGTGCCCCGTGGGGAAGATGCCCCAAATCTCTCTGTGTCCCATCCCGCAGACATCGACGAGTGTCAGGACCCAGACGCCTGCAGCCAGCTCTGCGTGAACCTCGAGGGCAGCTACAAGTGCCAGTGTGAGGAGGGCTTCCAGCTGGAGCCCCTCACCAAGGCCTGCAAGGCCGTGGGTGAGCACAGGGAGGCGGCGGGACGGGACGGGGCACGAACATGGTGGGGAATTTTATCATCTGAACTTTGCACCGACTGCAGTGACCCAGGGGTAGACCATCTGCTCCGGAGGCCTCTGATAGGTGAACACCACAGCCTAGTTAGGAATCAGGCTAGGGAGCTGCCCACACCTGTCCGGCTTCTCTGAAGACGCAGATCAATCCCGTGGGGGATGGTTTGTAGCCCCCAGTCCCATGAGGGGCTTCAGGGCACAAGAAATTGAAAGCCATGGCCTGAACAGCCTGCACCCCCTCCAGCTAAAGGAACTTATATCAAAAAAAGTAAATCCATTGAAAAGAGACCAAAATATAATTGCTCATAATGAAACAAAATAGTACAAATCACTGAGTTTCTTCTACCTGAAGTTTAGGTTAGAACTGCAACCATGCACTAATTCTTAGAATCACCTAAATCAAGAGATCCCATGGTTTTGCAGGTGTAGCTGTCCTGGTGAAGTTGACAGGTCACCCAAACATCCTTTGTCTTCTGTCATGTTCCACCCTTGCAGTGTGATTCCAAATGAGGGCCAGTTTTGCAGAAATATTTTAGAGCTGTTTTCCCTAGGGCCTCTCAGTCGTCATCCCTTTGACGGCTCCCTGGCTTCCCTCTGTCACATCCCCATGTGTGAAGCCCTCCAGGATTTGAGATTTCATTTTCATCCCATTCTGTAGGGTCAGGTCCCTACATATGCCATCCCAGCTGGAATGGTGTTGTGGGAAGGGATATTCTGAGGGGGGTCAGTTGTAGAAGGCTCGGTGTGTTGGTGAATATTGATGTCATGGTTATAGCACAGCCCCGAGAGTCAAAGTGACCCAGGTTCGAAACCCGGCTCTGCCACCCACTAGCTGTGTGACCTTGGGCAAGTCACTTCTCCTCTCTGAGCCTTAATCCCCTTATCTGTACAGGGAGTTGACAACAGCCCCTGCCTCTTAGGAGTGTGAGGGTCAATGAGAGAAAAAGGTAGGAAAAGCACTAAGCAGAATTCCCCGACATTAGGAATCACTCTGTTTACATTGGCCGTTATCATTTCTTCATCTTTATGTTCTTCAATGTAAAATGCTGGGGCCCAGATGTTTTCAAATGTAGGTTTCACTATTATTCAGCTATGGTGAGGCCAACAGGCCAGGAGACGACTGCCACTGAAAAGACAGTTTGTTGCTCACAGATCCCAGGAGCAGGGGGCATAGCACACCATGGGGGGGACCACCCGGGGAAGCAGCAGGTGTGGTCAGAAGGCCGAAGGAGTGAGGGGAAAACCGGGGGTGTGGGAGAGCCTTTATTGTGGTTTCTGTGGGAAGGAACAGGCGAGTTTGAATAATTTTAGTGGTCTCTGGGGAATAGATGCTGGCCCTTATTGTCTGGCACCTGTCCCTGGGGTGACTAGGGAAGGTGGATAGTGGGCAAGAGTGTGAGACCCCAATAAAGGATGTGGCGGGGTGTGGGCTGGTTAGTTTGCATTTGAAGTGAGTCATTTACCATGTCCTCCCCGATCCACATCGGAACCGCTTCGTTAATACCCCAGGCAGGCATCCTGGTGTCTCCCCTGATTCAGTCCGACCCTGCAGGGTGACAGTGGAGGACAGGGTGCCTTCCACTCTCCTGAGCTCCCCTTCCTGGCTCCCCAGGCACCATCGCCTACCTCTTCTTCACCAACCGCCACGAAGTGAGGAAGATGACTCTGGACCGCAGCGAGTACGCCAGCGTCATCCCCAACCTGAAGAACGTGGTCGCCCTGGACACGGAGGTGGCCAGCAACAGAATCTACTGGTCCGACCTGTCCCAGAGGAAGATCTACAGGTGAGCCTGGGTCCCGCCCCGTGCAGCCCCAGTCCCTGAGTGGACTGAGGGCCCCTGGACCTGACACTCCTCCTCTCCCCTCAGCGCCCAGATCAACAGAGCCCCCAGCTTCTCTTCCTACGACACCGTCATCAGCGAGGATCTCCAGGCCCCCGACGGGCTGGCAGTGGATTGGATCCACAGCAACATATACTGGACTGACTCCATCCTGGGCACCGTCTCAGTGGCTGACACCAAGGGTGTGAAGAGGAAGACAGAATTCTCAGAAAGCGCTGCTTTAGATGGCTGCTGACAGATGCTCTCGGGATGAGCGATGCCCCAGGGCTGGGGGCATGAAGAACACGGGTGGGGTTCATGAACCGATTAGGGCTCCAGGTGGGGGGAGGTTTGTGCTGAGGTAGACCAGACTGAGTTGGATGTGGGCTGTCCCGAACCCCGGGATGCTCTGGATGTCAGAAAAGAACAAGGCCCAGGGCTTCCCTGGTGGTGCAGTGGTTGAGAGTCCGCCTGCCGATGCAGGGGATGCGGGTTCGTGCCCCGGTCTGGGAAGATCCCACATGCCACGGAGCGGCTGGGCCCGTGAGCCATGGCCGCTGAGCCTGCACGTCCGGAGCCTGTGCTCCGCAACGGGAGAGGCCACAGCAGTGAGAGGCCCGCGTACCGCAAAAAAAAAAAACCAAAAAACAAAAAACAAGGCCCAGAATGTGGGCCTCCCCACCCATCCTATGGGAGCCCTGGGGGTCGATGCCCCACCATGTCTTCTGTGTCACCTGAGGTGGAATCAGACCCTGAAAAGCCCTGCCCTATGGAATAGAATCCAAAATCAGAGATTAAATACTGATTTAAATTGATATTAGAGGGACTTCCAGGCAGTCCAGTGGTTGGGATTCTGTGCTTCCACTGCAGGGGCTGTGGGTTCAATCCCTGGTAGGGGAACTAAGATCCCAGTGCTGGGAGGTGCGGCAAAAAAAAAAATTTATATTAGAAATGAACACTTGTTAGAAATTAGAAATTTAAATTCCAATGTAGTATTATACGGCAGAGTATCTTACACTGAGACAGGATTGCAGAGATGTTTAGAAACGCTCTGGGACAGTGTTAGCCGACTGACAGATCACCGCCCGTGGATTACCCTACTCGGGGTCCGCAGGCCCCGTTGCTGACTCAGCAGCTCCAGTGTCCCCAGGGACCCGTGTCCCCTGGCGGAAAGCCTCTGTCCTCTGTCACACGTACCCTGCACCTGCAGCACACACCAGCTGCCCCGGTACATCATGTGTGGCATTTCACAACCCCAGGATGGGCAGGATGTTCTGGCTGCAGTAACTGGAGAAAAGGGAGCATTGGGCCTCAGGGAGAAAATGTTGGCAAAGGCGCACTTGGCTGTCCTTGCATGGTGTCCGTGGCTCAGAACGGACAGATGCCCCCTTGGGGTGAAGGTGGGCATGTCAGGTCCTCATCAATCAAGACTAATGCTCTCGTTTGGTGGAGGGTCACCCGGTCCACCCTACTGCCAGCAGAGAGAGACACCCTCCCTGACACACTCCACTTATTATTATTTATTTTTAAATATTTATTTATTTATTTGGCTGCGCCAGGTCTTAGTTGCAGCACGCGGACTTCTTAGTTGCGGCATGCACGTGGGATCTAGTTCCCCGACCAGGGACTGAACCCGGGCCCCCTGCATTGGGAGCGGGGAGTCTTACCCATTGGAACACCAGGGAAGTCCCACAGGCTCCACTTAGATGCATGTTGTGTGCTCTGCTATTGATTGATTGATTGATTGATTGATTGCCTCGCTGCATGGCTTGTAGGATCGTAGTTCCCTCAACCAGGGGTCAAACCCGTGCCTGGAAGCTCAGAGTCTTAACCACTGGACCGCCAGGTGCTCTGCATATGTGTTTATTCCCCCCATCCCCAATAGCATGGAATTCTCTGCCTGACCTGGCTCTTTCATTTGGCCTATGGGTTTCCTTCCCTGCCAACCCGATGGGCCATGATTTATTTTAACTGCTATCCAGCCCCTGGAAATTTAGGTTTTTACCCCCTGCCTCATACAAAGTAGCCATGAATACTTTTGAATGCCTTTGAAGGTGAGTCGCTGCAGTTTATCTGCAGGATAACATTCTAGAATTTGGGTTACAAATAGGTCTGAGGGTACATACATGGACATAGCCTCAAATTGTCCTTCTAAGCAAAGGTTGTGATACTGACCCTCCCGCCAGAGGTGCACCCTAGGACCCGTTTCCCCACACTCTCACCAAAGGGTTTTCCATCTTTGTAATCATGATGGGGAGGGTGTATTCCAGGGTAGTTTTAATTTGTATTAGGTCACTTGTGAGTTAGCCTGAGCATCTTTTCAGATGTTTAAAAGCCCTTGGAGCGGCTTCCCTGGAGGTCCAGTGGTTAAGACTCCGAGCTGCCACTGCAGGGGGCACAGGTTCAATCCCTGGTTGGGGATCCTGCACGCTGCAGGATATGGCAAAAATAAATAAATAAATAAAATAAGATAAATTAAGATTTAATAAAGAAAGAAAGAAAGAAAATAAAAGCCCTTGGAGATCCACTTGTAAGTATGGATCCAAAAGAATTGAAAGTAGGGACAGAAACAGATGTTTGTACACCCGTGTTCTTAGCAGCATGATTCACAGTAGCCAAGTGTCCATCTGCAGAGGATTAGATAAACAAAATGTGGTACATGCATACAGTGAAACTTTATTCAGCCTTAAAAAGGAAATCTGACACCTGCTACAACATGGATGAACCTTAAGGACATTACGCGTAGTGAAATAAGCCAGTCATAAAAGGATAAATACTGTATGATTCTACTTATACGAAGTCCCTAGAGGAGTCAGATCCATGGAGACAGAAAGTAGGAGAGTGGGTGTCAGGGGCTGGGGGAGGGGGATGGGGAGTCAGTGTTTAATGGGGACAGAGTTTCAGTTTGGGGAGAAAAGAAAGTTCTAGAGATGGATGGTGGTGATGGCTGCACAGCAGTGTGAATGTACTTAATTCCATTGAATTGTATACTTAAAAATGGTTAAATGCTAAATTTTATGTTATGTGTGTTTTACCACAATTAAAAAAATCTCTCTTTGTGTGTGTGTGTATATATACATGTATGTGTATGTAGGGGTGTGTGTGTGTGTGTGTGTGTGTGTGTGTATAATATATATATATAATTTGTATTTAAAAAGCCAAAAAATTACCCCCCCCCCAAAATTTATAAAAGCCCTTAGAAAGCAGTGTTCAGGGTACAGATTCCAGGGCCCCAGTCCCAACATTGGAATGAAAACCTCCCTTTGTTCTCAAAGGTCGCCCAAATCCTGCCAGGTCTCACCAGGTGTGGGCCTTGAGGGCAGCAAGGTCAGGGAAGCAGAAAGAACCCATCCAGGGTCTCCCCAGAACCAAGTGGGAGTCCTGGCCTGGCTGCTTCAGGAGCAAGCAGCTCTTCTGGGTGGGCAGAGCCTCCCTCCCTGATGTCTTCCTGTCTGTCCTTCCCGCTGTCCCACCAGCTTCATGTACTGGACGGACTGGGGAACCCCTGCCAAGATCAAGAAGGGGGGCCTGAATGGCGTGGACGTTTACTCGCTGGTGACGGAGGACATCCAGTGGCCCAATGGCATCACCCTGGGTATGTTGGGAGCACAGTGGTCCTGGCGGGTCAGGCACAGTCTGGAAGAGAGGAAATGGCCACGGGCCTCCCTGAGATTTTATAACCTGAAACTCAGCTCCCATTCCCCCACATACCTGCATGCGGTTCAGGCTCACACATGGGGGTGGGGATGGGGACGGGGTCTGAACTGCTTTCCTGGGCGCGTCTCTGCTGGGTCCTTGGGGGTCTCCCTCCTGTGGGGAGCAGCGTGCCCAAGCCCCAAGCACCGCCCCCCCGCATCACGTGTGACCACTCCTTGTCGTCCC